ATATATATATATATATATATATATATATATATATCTCCAATACATTGGGCAATGTGTATATTTCACCTCTACCAAAGTGCTGGTAAAAACATTGCTTGTAAACTCATACTCCAAAGGCATAAGGTTTGTACATTATAGTTAGGAAATCCAAATGACCACTCAGTCATGTTCAAAACAGAATGAACAACAAAAAAAAAGGATAAGCCTCTTCTTGTGACAACAATATTATGTTGATGGATGGGTAAAAAGAAAAACTGAAGCTACGGTTCCTCTTTGTTCCTACCTTCTCTGTGAAAACAATTACATTCCAATAGGAAAGGATAAAGGTAGATATTAACCAGAAATAACTATTAAATTGATAAAGTGATTAGGAATAGGATAAATACTCTATATTCTCAGTAAATTCAATCAGACAATGATGGTACAAGGAACTAAGAGAGTGAAACTGTCCAAGGTGAGCCTTTGTGAAATCATGAGGAAAATTTATGAAAGTTTCAGGATAAGCATTAAAGTTATTTTTTTTTCTTTTTACTTTGCTTAAGAAAAAAGTAATGTGAATTTTCAAAATTTATTCTCTTAATAACTAAACAATATTCCCAACTAAGAGAATAAAACATTTTACTTTAAAAGATTTGGAATTTTATTTATAAATTAAGGTAAGAAGAGGCACCAAAGCTTTGTGCATCTAAAGGAAGTAATATCCTTAAAATGCTATTTCCTCTCTGAGTTACCAGACTGGAAATGAAGAGAATGCCTTAAATGTTGTGTCTGAATTTCTGCAAGACACTTATTGAAACCTCTAATTGCATTCTAATGAATTAGATTAGGAAATACGGACATGAAAATATCATAGGAAGGCAGATTCCTATTAGATTCAATTATAGTCCTCACCAGAAGCATTATTGTCAATCGGGAGAGAGGGTTATTGTGCTGAGTTTTAGAAGTCTCTCCTAAATTTTTGCTCTGCTCAATTTTTTTCATTAATAGTCTGTATGATTATATAACAAATCTGCTTACCAAATATCACAAATGCCCACAACCAGAAAGATTATTAATGGATATAGCAGACTCAAGTGCCTAGTATGAACCAGATATACTGCTAGTTACTAGGGCAAAACAGGAATAGACTGAGGAGCTTACAACATCAGGAATTAAAATACTTCATCAAGCCAAAAATAGTTGATTAATGTATCCCCTAGTACAAAAAATGGAACATAAAATGGAGCCAAATTAATACTTTCAATTAATGAGTCAATTAATGAATCAGAGGAAAAATCAATATTCAGTCAAAGCTGAGGCCAAAGTTCAACATCACCATCAGAGAATGAACTGCTTGGAGAGAAGCTTAAGTAAGAAATGTTATCCAAAAGTAATGATGACTGCAGTTCTGTATTTACAATATAACAGATTTTTTAAAGTTTGACATTTTAATTAGGAACAGTGATTCTTCCACCCTGTCAACTACAAACTTGCTCCTTGGTCAAAGTACTGCATATTTATCATACAAAATTAGAGGCTCACCTTCTACAGAAGCCTCTGAAATAGCAAGGAAAAATGAGGTTCCCTTGTTCATCTCTAACAGTTTTTTTTTCATATTCTACATTTATCACTGGATTCAGGATGATTTATCATGTATATTGTTGTACAGGATGTACATGTTGGACATGTTTTCCCCTCATGTAATTTGGATGCAGGAGAATTGACATCCACTTTAAATTTATCCTCATATTATGTGAAAAAACATTCTCTTTATAAGAGTTACTTCACAATTTCTGCTGTGAGTGAACTTAAATAACTACAAATTAGAAACAGCTTTCATGGGTAATTTGGTTGAAAGTTAAAGTTGTAATTCTATGAGAAAAAAAAATGTGATACAATTTAATATCTACTGTCTCTTCAAATTTATTAAATTATTTGAAAGTACTTAATTGCTTTTGCAATACAATTAACTCTTTAATTACTGTAAATTTTCCTCTTCCCTTATTGAAATACGTTTATCAATTTGTTGATAGAATTTCAATGTTAAAGACTTAAGGAAATTTTCTTTCCAAGTTAAGCATTTTCTAACATGTTCCTCTATGATCCAAAGTGATAACGCAGTAAATCTCATTGGCATGCTACTTAGTACCACTCACTTTGCTGACTAGCAATGACAATAACCTTTGTAATCACATTGTGTTGACCATGTACATGCACAATTTCAAGGATTTAAGGCAGTATATTGAAGTAGGCATTTGGCCTTCCAAAGGCTGAAGCCAAAGTTAAATATGTAGCATTCACTAAATATAAAAGCTGAAGCCAAACTTCACACAAAGTTAAATATATAATTTTGATTTAATATCAAGGCTGAGGCCAAACTTTACGAGTCTCAAAAAATGTGATTTTTTAAAGATTCCTTCTTTGTGCATTATAGTTATAGACAATATTGGGGTTCATTTTGACATAATCATATAAGCATAGAATATAAATTTGCTCCACTTCAGATTCCTTTTTTGAATATCTTCTATACAATACACCAGGAGTAGAAGAACAAAAGGACACATTCCCTGGAGGTCAGCATAACTTTGGGAGCTGTAAACTTATTTAGTAGTAAGATGGACAGGTCCCCTGGCCCTCACAGAATCTATGGTTTTGTGGGGAAAACCGTAAACAATAAATAAATAATTACAAAAATCAAATTTAATTAAATACTTCAGTGTGTTCTATGAAGGAAAATGCCTAGTGCTGGAAAACTGGATTAAGAAAAGTAGTTTAAATGAAGAGTCAAGGAAAAAACTCTTTGAAAAAATGACATTTAAACTGAGAACTAGAAGACTTGTGGGATTTAATCACATGAAGTATGGTAGAATTGTATGGTAGATGAAGTATTGGTCAAATCTTATTTTTTTTTTGGTTGAACCTTATAATAGGCTGATAGAGGGCCAGTGTGCTGATGCAACTATCAGGAAATGAGCAGCTGGAACAACTACTGGAGGGATGATGGATCCCAGATTGTTTAAGTCTGACAGTGCATGTCAACAATTTTTTTATTTTATCTTGATACAATGGGAAGCTTTTGCAGGGTTAAAAATACATTCACTTTTAGAGGATTATTGAGACTGCTCAGTGGAATGGTGAAAGGATTGAAGGAAAAAATGGAATCAACCACATTATAATATTTTATTTATTTACTTGTTCATTCTTTTTAGACATACATGTCAACAGAGTGTGTTTTGACAGTGGAGTGTATTACACATACATGGAGTATAACTTATCCTAACTAGGATCCCATTCCTGTGTTTGAACATGATATGGAGTTACACATAGGAAAATGATGTCTAATTCATTCTACTGTCACAATATAGTATGTGAAAAAATTCTTCTTAGATATGACTCATCCATCTTCACCTATGCTATTAGAATTTTCTTATTTTTACAGATTGAAGAATTTACCATTCTCATTTACCAAACTTAAAGAGCTTGCAGCTTTGTGGCTTTCTGACAATCAGGTAAAAACTTTTATTACCTGATTTATTTTATTTGTGAACATGAATTACAATTGAAACTTTGAATTACTCTTTCCCACTGATATCTTTGACCGTTAATACAAAATATTCTTTATCCCCTGAAAAGATTTTTCTAAAGGTAGCAGTACAAACATTGCCATAGACTATACTACCATCTCTATATTTTAAATACTTATGTTTAATATCTACTTCATTGTCAGAGATCTAAACATAAAAAGATCATTTTTATAGCTTCTTAACTCCTGGTGGTACACATATGTCCTTAGAGAATGTATTTTAATTATATCTCTGTGCATAAAGAATAAGAAACCATTACCACAATCCCCACAAGAGGGATTTCTTATCTTCTATGTTCTCTTTTCTTCTTATGCTTTTAATTATAATCAATTTAATTTTAAAACTTTATTCAAGAAACTTGCTAGTATCTTTCAGCAACTATTGTCAGTATTTTCTGTGAAAATGTTTTATTATTAATTTTTATATTCATGAAAATAGATTATAATTGAATCAGTAATTGAGTATTATGAATAATTTTATTAATTGGAAAATACCAAGAAACAACTGGAGACAACTGATTTGCCAACTAAAGAAATAATATTGACATAGTTTATCCCTCTTTTTCTTTGTGTTTCTACAATTTTGAAACAGTCATGCCCAAATACAAATGATTAAATGAAAGCAAGCCATCTTGTATTTAATTTATCAATTTTTTTCCTGAGCATAAAAGAATATCTACTGACAAATGGATGTTCATAATCCTAGATATTACATGAAAAATTAAAAATATCTTCTACAAAATGTAAAATGTAAATGTAAGAATAATGTTTGCATTTCTACAGTCACTACAGCACTTGTTTTCATCGATTGAGTAAAAAATTAGATTGTCTTTCAAATTCAGGTCTTATCAATAAACTATAGATTTTTTTACATGGTCAATATAACATAAATAAATCCTCTCTGGAGTCAATATGAACTATGCTAATGAAACAGTCTATTTTGCAGTCTCATATTGCAAATAAACATCACTTAATATCATGATTTATTATTGTTGTGTGAGAAGGAACAAAACAGTGACTGCATCATTTAACTTTTATTTTGAACACTGATTTAATGTATTGCCGACAGTTTCATGAGAAAAGCTGGTATATCAGATCCCCTTTATGCTTCACTCCTATTAATAATTATCACAGGATAAGCAGATTTTCAATATATTAATAATATGAACATTTTCAATATATTTCTGATACATAATATGTGAGATCTGAAAGCCATTCATAAATAGTTATTTTTAAAATAAAATTAATGATAGAAAACAAACTGTGACCATAAATATATCTTGATACATCAGACACATGTATAGTTGCTTATTTATGTGTGGACCTTTTCTTTTGGGTTGCAAAAGTATTTCTTAATGCTTAATAAATGAATGTTTATGTTTTAATCTAACTAAATGCATAGATGATCTTGCATAGGATGAACTTTATAGCAAATTCCATTTCTTTCCAGGGCAACTGTCTATGAAAATGAATAGGCATGTAGGACTACACTAAAAACTTACTAAAGTTGAAACAGTTTAACACATTTTGGTCTCATCAGCATTAAAACTGACATTTCTTAGCTGAATAGGTTTTGGTAAGTTTTATAAAAATGTATACTACTGAAGAAGAAAACTTCATTACAAAAATGTTAGAATTTGAAAATATTTCTTGGCAATAGTCTTATTTATGGTATACTTTATTTCCATTTTTCACTCACTTTTCTTTCAATTTTCATTCATCTTAGTGAGGCCAGACTATTGACCATTATCTTATATAAAATAAATATTATTCAGATTTTCAACGTTTTTCATCTAATTTATGTGTTTTCTGCTTCCAGTCCAAAGCTCTTATCCCTTTACAAACGGAAGCCCATCCAGAAACAAAGCAAAGAGTATTGACTAACTATATGTTTCCCCAGCAACCTCGTGGTGATGAAGGTAAAAATTGTCCATAGAAATGTGTTCTACATTTATAATGATGGATTAAAAAGACTATTTTCATTCTGATCTCTGGCCAGGAGGATTAGCATATGAGCAAGCTAATAAAGATAATTATAAAAGGCAAATATATCATTTGGAAGTTTAAGCATGAGTCTCTACACTATAGTATTTTAAGATTCCAAATACTAAACTCTTCCTCTTTATATCTTACATGAAAATAATGTTGGCATGTAGACACCACTTCTCTTGGCAACAAGACACAGGGCTAGTTAACCAAAGTGGTATCCAACAATTGCAATGAGCTGAGAGCTATCAGAACCTAAGGAAAGTTCAAAGGGCTGATTCATTTCCAGTGTTCACTTACTGCATGAACACAGTTTAAACATTTACTTCAGTGATCTTAAGCACCCAGAATGTCATGTTATTAGTTAACCATGGAGAGAAAACTGAAAAATAATGATCATTGTTTTTCTTTTTCCAGTTTAGTTTTCCCCCAAAAAAGTCAGTAATTATGAAATACCATTTTTAAAAAACTTAAATCTTTCTCAATAATTAAATTTCACATTTTTCATAAAAATTCTTAAATTTTTACTATTTGAAATCTAGCACATGCTGGTATGAACATTTTCTATAGTCATAGAGTAACAGTGATTCTTGTAGGAGTAAACCCTCTTTACTTTAGCCATGGATTCAATCCACTCAATCCACCTGAAAGAGAACAACATGTAAAATAAACCGTTTGCTCATGTATTTCTTATTTTGAGAGAAAATTATCACAAAAGGCTTTAGTGTTTTGACTTTCAAATCTAAGTGAATTTGCCTCCTTGGTTTATTATTTTGGGTTCTATTATTTTTGTTTCTTTTGAGGAAAGAAAGTTGCTAATTGTAAAGTTTTCTTGAAATTCAATCAAGTGACCTTTTGGTTTGTCAGACAGCAGAGTAATAAATGAATCTTTAGAATCTCTTACAACAAAAAAATACAAGATAAAAGCTATCCTTTGGTAAAGAATGTAGCCTAAGCTGAGTAATTTAATTGAATTTTCTTGTGAAGAAATATTACTATTAGCCAATATTCTGATGTGAATTAAAGATTTATAAACCATGTTTCCTGTAAATTTGAGACATTTTAAACTAACTGAAACCTTAGTGTTAAAGACTAAATTTTCTACTTGTTCTCTACCTCAAAAACATTGGCCCTTCCCAAACACACCAAAGAACAAAGTTGCAATCATGGGCACTGTATTGCAAAATCGTTCTTATGTTGAATCTTTCATTGAAAAATAACATCCTGATGAGCGTTTAGTGGGTGTGGATAGGAGCTGTGTAATCACATCTATATGGAATAAAATCCTGAGTTCATCACAGAGAAGCTGCATGACTTAAAGCAAGCATCTTAAAACTCAAGTGTAGTTTCATCATTAAGAGAATAAGAATGTATTAGAACTACTGTTACACTCCTGTGAGGATAAAAGAGATTGTGTAGAGTGTTTTATCCAGGACTCTGTCTTATTATCTTATTACTGCTGTCCTCTGGGGAGTCCATTCTCTATATTAGACAACTTCCCAATGTCCTTGAGTAATTAATGTATACTTAAGTAATCAATCTATACTTGAGTTAGATGTTAAAAGACCATGTGACAAATATCAAGGAAATTTTACTCCTTTTTTCTCTTTCTTTCCTCCTGTCTTTTCCCTTCCTCAAATTCCTTCTCTCTCTAGCTTTCTTCTTTCCTGTAATTATTTTTGCATTCATTTGTAGTTGTCACCCGTTTTTTTTTGCATAGTAATTAAACTCTATTAATAGCACTCTATTTTGAAAAAACGCAATAATACTTTGGAATCTAACTGTAGATTTCCAGTCAGACAGTGACAGCTTTAACCCTACACTGTGGGAAGAGCAGAGACAACAACGCATGACCGTTGCCTTTGAATTTGAAGAAAAGAAAGAAGACGATGAAAACGCTGGGAAAGTTAAGGTGAACCTTTTAGCTTTTGTTTCTCTCTTCTCCATCTTTCAGTTTTTCCATTGTGATTATTAAGATAGACTGTAGGATAAATTGAGTGACCTCTGCTGGAAGGTCAGATGCATCTTCAAGTCCCATGGCGGTACCTTTCATTAGAGCAGCCTGATAGTTTGGAAGCACTAATGTGCTTCAGAAGAAGACTGATGTCCTAGTTCTGACTGAGGAAGTTTGATACGCCACCCAAGCCATCTTACAGAACAGTAAGGCAGGAGAGATTCAAGCTGAAAGTTTTTAAAAAAAGAAGTCCAAGTGATGGACTTCCACTAAGCACTCTTATTTCTTCTGACACACTGCAATGATTTTCTTTTCATCACTGAGCAAGGCATTGTGCAGACTATATGAGCATAAAATTCACATTTATGAAAGGACTACTTGATTAGCATGCTACAGGGACATTAAATCTCCTAAAGTTTCTGTCCCAGGTATGTTTGAGAAAAATTTGTCAATTTTATTTAAGTTTTAAATTAACATTTTAATTTAACATTTTAAATTAAATGTTAAATTAATTAAATTTAACATTTTAAAGGAGATGAGTATCTAATGACAAGTGATGTTTCTATGGAAAATAACTTCAAAAATTTTTTCCTACTTCAAAGCATATTTTTTAAAAAATCCATATTGGGACTAATCTAAATCATGTAATGTGGTTGAATTTTAAAATCTGTGTTTTTCCATTATTTAGAATTTTAACCAGAGCTGTGAAGATATTGGTGTTATGCTTTGGGATCTCCAAAATGATGAGCTAAATAAATATCTTTTCTTTACAAAGTAAAATAAATAAATAAGACTTTAAATGTCATCAGAATTTATTTATATTTTATTAACACCTGATTTTCATGTTATTCTCATGGCAACATCTTGAATCTCTCATTAACTTTTAAATATTATTTGTGCACTTTTTCCATCATGAATACTAACAGCTCTCATTCTTAGTGTCTAATTACCTAAGTAATTGTATATGCATCCTATTAATAAATCCAAATTGTGTGACGTGTTTTCTGTCCACTCCTTCCCATATTTTCTAAGCATTATTTATTTAGCTATTATTTATAGAACCTTATAAGAATTACAAAAGTAACTAAGTGTTTACCAACAAGGCATACCTATAGTATTATGGAGAAACCAAGATGGATTTCCAATCCAAAATGATATTTTTTGTTAAAGATTTGTGTTTTAAAAAATGTTTCTTTCTGGGTGGTTGGTTAGTACCATCTAACAACCAATGAAACATTTTTTTTAACTTGTAAATTCCTAGAAAAAAATATGCTAACATAAAAAGCAAGAAACCAACCAAACTCTGGAACATTCAGTTCCTCTTTTAAGGATTTCATGTTAAATCTAGAACTAATGGATGATGCATTCTATATTGGACCCCTTATTCATGTTTGTATTTCATTGAATTGTCAAAAACTACATGCTTCTTCTTAAAACTCTATATCCAGAGGATTCAAGGAAAAAAAAAGTGCATTTAATATACTCTGGTATATGTCTCAATGAAAACATAAAATATAGTAAATGCAAGCAATTATTTAGAAGCCCTGTTTGTGTGTTACCTGATTAGATTTGTTTATAATCAGAGTAGGTTCATTATACTTTAGAATGGTTTATCCTTATGTTTATTTACGTATGATTGATTCATATTTTGGTAAAACAATGTTTTCCCAAAATCTCTAACTACTTGACTTTGACTAATTTGAATATCTCCAATGCCACCGGCTATTGGACAAATTAGAGCACAAACAAACTTCTAAATAAATCATCATGGAAATATGATGAATGGATATATTTAAATCTGACACTAAATTAATTACACTTTTCTGGTTCATTACATGTATACTAAATTTAGTACCATTTTACCTTTAATTTTCTTGAAATGTGAAAAGGAACCATTGACCTATGCCATCAACTTAAAAATGGACTAGAGTATAATGCCCTACTTGGAGTGTATATAGTGTAGTATGAATGCTTTATTGTGTGAAGAAACGGTGACCATGTAGCTTTATATGATCCTGGTACTGTTTTATTTCATGAATTTAAAACTCATTTTAATGATAGTCATTTTAAATGCATTACCCAGAGTTAAATTTAAAAAAAAAATCAAAAGTAGAAAATGATAAAGTAAAAGTATTGCTACAGTGCTCCTCTTTCTCCCAGAAAATGGAGATTCCTTCTCCCACAGGATCTCTCCTGCCAAGCCCCCTGGGAAAGGGGCCAGCGTGGGATTACTCTCCAACCTGCCAGACTGTCTGGCGATTGCTGCACACCATGGGCCAGGTGTGATCAGCAGATCCAAGATATGCCCGTCCCCCAGAATGACCCACAGCTGGCATGGGGTTGTATAAGTGGCCTCCAGCAGGAAAGGAGCATGTGTACTCCATTGCCAGTTGCAGCACAATCTACCACTCTTCCCTCTCTAAGTGGCAGACAGGTAGGCCTAGGTTTTTGGGATAGGAGAATTCCCCCATGTAGAGGCAACCTTGGAACAGTGGTTTATGGGGTATGTTCTGCATGATTTTGGGAAAAGAAATGTTGATCACATAGGACTTTCAAATTGCCAATGTTTGATCCCTATTTAAGTGTTTGCTTATTGACATTGGCATTGGGGTGGGAAGAGGACTGAGTCAGAGGGGAGGGAACACCAACATGAGGTGCCTATTGGTGGGGTATCTGGCATGGTTTTGAGTTGGGTGCTTCATTTTTATTTACAATTTTTATTTTAAAAGACTCTTTAAAGTGTGGGAATACCAATAGTTGGGCGGAATGTTGATAACACTATCAATGCAATATAAATTGTCCTCCCTACATATGCGCATTTTTATAATGTCAATTCTAGGGAAAGTTAAATAGCCAAAACTTGATTCCTAAAATAGCAGGAGTGTAAACTGAGATTTGCTGAGAGTGTACTTTAAGCACAAAGATAGACATTTGTTGAAAAGCATCAATTTCCTATAATTTTGAAGACTCAGATGATATGAATTCCTGTAAGAGAAGACTGGGTGATGGGATGTGGCATATATTAGTGGGATGGGTATATAAGAGATTAATGGGCAGAAAACATGTCTTAATGAGATATGAAAGAACACTGCATTTCCCATCCACATGTAATGGACTAGATTCTTATTCTGTGTCTTATATTCTTTCTACAATATAAGACAAGCTAAGAATGCATTTTCCTGACTAAAATGGTATGTTTCCTTTCTTTGTAAAATATTCTGATTAATTCCTAGAATAAGATGATATTTATATTAGTGATCAAAGCACTATTGTTTCTCTTACTGGAATTTACAATCTCAAATCAAATTATAATTTGATCATTATATGAAATATATTATATTATCTAAGTATAATATAATATATGAGAAACAGTTCTTTATAAATTCAGTGTCCAAGTTATTAATTATTTCTTCATTGCTATATTTTTGAGGTCTCCAACATCTTGCAGCTGCTATTTGCATTTACTGCACTTTATTTAGATTTGAGAAGCACAGAATGCTGTGAAACATTTCTATTTTCCAAAATGAAAATAAAATAATATTTTAGTAAAAATATTGCATTTAATAGAATGTATATTTTACATGAGCAAATACTTTATAGTGAGTGATAAATTTAATATTTTATAAGATACAATTAATAGATTTTCCCACCTATCTATATAAGAAATAAAATTATTTCTTTTTCATGCTTTATTAGAATAAGGAAATATTTCTAGCCTATATATTTAGAAATATACAGAAACTGCTTTTTTGGTGGGGGAGGAGTACCAGGGATTGAACTCAGAGGCACTTGATCACTGAGCCACATCCCCAGCCCTATTTTGTGTTTTATTTAAAGACAGTGTCTCACTGAGTTGCTTAGCGACTTGCTAAATTGCTGAGACTGGCTTTGAACTCACAATCCTCCTGCCTCTACCTCCCAAGCCTCTGGGATTACAGGTGTGCACCACCACACTCAGCCCAGAAATTGCTTTTATATTTGAGAATTACTGAACTACTAATATGGCCATGTTTATTCACTTCTGAAGTACCGCATGCAGTTGGAAAGTGAAAAAGCAAAGCAGTCCATAACAAAGCATAAATAAGTTTGTAGAGCTTGAAAATGGAATAGAATTATAAAATATAGGTTCATTTTTAAGAGAAATTAGGAAGTAGTTACTTAGCCTCCATTTAAAAAAAAAGAAATTATCTTGTTATTTAATTCAGTAAAATTCACTGTTTAGACTTACAGTATTTCTTATACAAGGTTATACAATTATATGCTGCACCTATTCTCATGAATATCTCTGGTCAGCATAAAGAGTGCATTAGAAAAACTGAGTTTGACTATAACCTTTGACAGGTTACTTATATTGTCCAAGCCCCAGCTTTCTTCCTATATAGTGGGAACAGCTGCACTAATAAATTTCAAAATTTAAATGAGATAAAATTATTAATGATTCATTCTATAACTGATAAATAAGAATTTATTATTTAAGATATAAATAATTCAGAATTATACCTATAGAATTAACTATGAATACTATTTTGTATTATATCAATAATTAATTAGAAATTAAATATCCCTATAAAACATTTAGCCTAGTGACAGGCACATGACAGATGCCGAATAAATGGTAACTGTTGCTACATGCAATATAAAAAAAGATTGAGACATTTACATTTATTATGGTTATATATGTAGTATAGAATCTAGATTACTAAAGGAATCATATTTTTAAAATACTTAGTAGTATCTGTTATTAGAAATAATGTTTAATCTCTGCAAAACTTATACACTTCCAAGGAATTGCCATATTTATCTCATTTTAGCTCTAAGTTAACCCAAATATGTGGAAAAGCTATTATCATCCCCAATTCACATGATTTGAGAAACAAAATGATTAGCAGCTGATAGCTAATTGGTATTAAATGTGTGGCTTAAGTTATGCCTTCTGACTCTAGGTCCAGTAAGTTCTGCTAGTAAACAGGCAAGAAATTTATTTTCTAGGAAAAACAAATCCAAGTTTTATGAGACTTCATCCATAACTTGAGAACAGGCTTCTTTAAGGAAAAAAAAAAGTATTTAAAATGACCATGCAAATACATAAATAGGGCCACTTGCAAAGTTTCAGAAGAGACATCTAAAAGTGATTGGCCCCAGAGCTTAAGCTTCATTAACTTCATGGTAAATCTGTTTTTATATTCAAATATTTTCATGGAAATAAAATGCCCATCCATATTCAGGTGATCTGACCAAACTATCACATTAACTTGCTTATAAATTAACCAAAAATTATTAGCAGCATGGCCCTTAGTACATAGTCATCTAATTGTGTCATGTGGGACATAGCATGTATAAAAACTAAATTACATTATTCAATGAAGTATTTAATTCAATTAAGGAAGAACATCCCACATTTCTTTTACCTTTGATTCAATTTATGTGTAATTTTAGTGTTGAGAATTTTTTTAGGTTGCATAGAATTTTAATTTAATGCCCTACTTTAGAATATTTTTCATTCATATACCACTGGTTATTAAAAATAAAAAGATATTCTTAATTGGCATGATAGTCATACCATTCTACAATTTACTTTTCTTTTAGAAAATGTAGTTTTTTGACTTTTAGCCCTTTGATGTCTAGTACTTTTAAACAAGTTCAACAATGTAATTTAAAAATTAGATTTAATTCATAATTCACATTCCTTATACTAATCCAAACAGCAGATCCATGAATGCATGCATTCCAATGCACTTTGTCTAGCATGAATATCATTGTTTTTGTGTTTTTTTTAAGAATGCATTACAAATTAATTACCCCAGGGTGTATTAATATTATATTCTAACAACTTATAGTTTTTTTCTCTAAAGTTTAACTTTGTCTTGCGTTATTATGACTGTATTTCTATATATTATTAATTTCATTCTTATTTATTTGGGAGTGTACAAGATTAAACTACACTTAAACACTCCAGCAAAATTAACTGATTTTTCATCTGCTTTCCTAAAATGTATTGGACAAGTAATTTCATATTTTTAACATTGAAAGGCATGTCAGCAATCATCTAATGAATTCCAATCCCAGCATTTGATTAGGAAAATGAGCCACAAGGAAGACAAAATACTATGAAGAATAACACAGTTGGTGGATTCGCTAAAACTGCAGATGAGCAAAAGTGTTTGAATTCCTATTCATAATCCTCAGATCTGTGCCACCATCATAGCTCCTACATTCCATGGGTGACTTGGGTGAGGGGGCTCTCCCTCCTTCTCCTTTTCCTTCTAAGTCCCACTCTGTCCTCTGCCTTCAGCTTCTCTTCCACCTCCTCTCCTCCCACCCCAACCCTCACACAGGCACTTTCCACAGACACATAACTCACCACGATCACATAAACCATTTCATTTTGCAAAGTTGATTCTACTCAGATTCTAAAGGCATGATTGTTGAATAAGCCAGGCCAAGTAAATCTCCCTGGTGTTTCTTCTCCACTCCCTCTCAATGAAAAATAGAAAACTTCCATTTATTCTATTTTTAAATACCTTATAATAAGTACTCTTATTGTAGGATATGAAATAATTTATCATTAAGAATAGTCATTAATTTGTGTTCCTGAAGGTCAGGTTGATACCCAAAATGTATTAAAAATGGAAATAAATATACAGATAAACATAAGTCAGAATTTACATACTTACTTAAAATAATTTAGAAAATAGTCTTAAGTTTTTAATTTCTCTTCATTGTAAGAAGCATGTTACTTTTTTGTTGTTGTTAAAAACTAAATTTGAAAGCCAAAGCATATTTTCCTTAAGGATTAACAAGAATTACTATCCTACCTTTTGATGTAACATGCTAATTATATATTTGGGCGAATGCATATCTGGCCAGAAGATATTGTCAGCTCCCCATTTTTGGACACACAACTCTACTTGTAAATCTTTTGGGGTCTCTTTCCATTGCCTGCATTGATACTCCAAAGATGTCACTTAATGTAATTATTATTATTTATAGATAATTAATATAGAGAACAGTCTCTAAAGTATGATAGTAGCTGGTAATAACTTGATTAAATTTTTTCAGAGATTACCAAGCACTTAACTGCTATCCTAGTCATGTAGGTAGGTCTAAAGATAGGATATGATCCAAAAACTGTTTATCATCTAGAAGGGTAGGAAGGAGTGGGGAAGTCCCATGAGATTGAATGTGAGAAGAACACTATATGTTCTATGCTGGAGCATTTTCTCAAGCAGCTCAACACTCACTGTATTGCATTTGGTTATACTACTGCACATAAAATGGAGTAGCTTTGTGAGCATGCTTGCTGAAATTATTTTTGTTAAATTTCTTTTTATAAACTTCTAGGTTGAAATAAACCTAAAACGATATCCAACTCCTTACCCAGAGGATTTAAAGAATATGGTAAAATCTGTTCAAAATCTGGTGGGTAAGCCAAGCCATGGAGTACGTGTTGAGAATTCAAATCCAACTGCTAACACGGAGCAAACTGTGAAAGAAAAATTTGAACACAAGTGGCCGGTAGCCCCAAAGGAGATTACAGTGGAGGTATTTGAAGGTTATTGGTAATTGCCAGTGTGGTTTGAAATTTTTTGAATTCTAAGTAATTTGGTTTCTTTTTTAAACGGAATAGATAGATCTTCCTTGATAAGTTCAATAAGTGCATTTTTTCCCAAAAATACAATGTTTATTCTTTTAAATTATGAGGGTTGTAATTAATAAATCACAGATAAATGATGCCCTCATGCCCTAATATCATTACTACAACTCCAAATATTCCAATACACAGAATGAACAGTTTGCCACCCAGTATAGCCTAGCCAAGGAATGCATTATATCATTGATGTTATTTTGGCTACCCCAATCTTATATAGTCATTAGGAAAAACTAACTGAAGATTTTTCATTCAGTAAATCTTAATAAAATTCCTAATACATTTTAGAGCAAATGTTTTAAAATATTTTTGGTTTGGGTTACAACCTTTTCAGAAAACATTGCTATTAACAACAAAAAGGGGAGATAAGTGAAACCTAGGCTTATGGAATCTGGCCATGTGAAGCTTAATTCCTATATTTTCGAATGAGTTGGAAATTCATCCTTATTGATTTTTGTGGTCTGAAAAGAATTCAACTACATTTATATCACTTCTACTATCTCATCAACTCTTCAGCTAATTTAGTTTTTCATCTTTTTATCTTCATTAGACACATAATTAGAATGATAAGTCTGGAAATTCATATTCTCAAAAATCTAGATTGATGAAACTCTTTTACAAATCTGCATTTCAAAGCATCAATTTATTGCATTTATTAAACACCAACTGCATATGTAGCACTGTGCTAATCACTGAGAGAAAAAAAAAAGAAATGTAAAATGTGCCCATAGTTCCCAAACAATTAAGTCCAGCTAGATAAACTTAACACACATAAATGATAAGAGAACATATTATATAAAGTATGATCACATGATTGGTTGTATGGTGGAGAATATAATGCTCTAAGTTAGGGCTGAATGCATATTAAAGATTGGGTTTTACAGTGAAAAAGAGAGGTAAAGGGAAGATATTGAGCAAAAATAACTATAATATGCACATCTGACAGCAGAGGTAACAGTCTTCCTTGGAAGAGGGGAATATAGCTGGAAATCTAAAGGAGAAAATGTCTTAAGTATTTGTTTGCATTGATTTTTTCTTATAAGTATCATTGTATTTTCTTTTTTCCAAAATATTACACGTTATAGCAAAGCAAGAGACTTTTCTTTCACCTCTAAGATATTACAATATATAATGTGAAGAAGTCAATATTTAGCAAGTGCACATTAAATATGCACATGTATGTTGTGTATTTAAATCTTATGTAGTCACAGCCTAATATCAAGGTAACTATGTAGTCATGAAACCTGTAAACTGAGTAAATTTACAACAACAATAAGAAGCTCCTAAAATTGCTTGATTTGGGATTAACGTGATACAGAGAAGAGATAATTCCAAAATTAAATGTTTCCTCTCCAAACTCACTTCCATTCCTGTATTCTCGATCTTTATCTCAGCTGGCACCATTATCTATGAGTTCTTTGAAGTTAGAAATTTGAGAAGTGTCCTGATTTCTTTTTCCTTCTTTGTCTCCACTCCTTGTCCCAAATAATTTGCCAAAGCCTATACATTTCACCTGAATAGATCCCTTTAAGTCCTCACCTCTGTTCTGCAGTCTGGTAATTTATAACCTATTTACAAAACCATCAGTTTCTTGGATTACCTTGTTCCCACCTCCTCGTTGCCTTGCCAGTGGTCTTTCAAAAGAAAAAAGAATAAAGAGTAGAGGTAGGCAGAACCAGAAGCAAACACAGAAAGAAATAGACAAGGTATATTGATAACAAATGCAGTTGAGTAGAGGGACAAATAAATCAATATTTATTCCTCTTTTTTATTTGGCAACTCTATGCCAAGAGTTTTAACATGTGTTATGCTAGACAAAGAGCCAGGAGAGCCTAAAGAATAAGGAGAGCAGGTAGACATATAGGTTGCCTGTCCTCCCAGTTATTCTTTACAAAATGCCTCTGGAGATTGCATTTAGATTCTCCCCAGCTCTCTATATGGCTAGCCCTCCTCTACTTTCAAGTTTCAGCTTAAAGTTCCCCTGAACAGGAAGCCTTCCCTGATAACCCTGGTCAGTTAGACTCTCTGATTTTCCTCTATCACATTACCCTATTTATTTGCATTAAACAGAATGAAATGTTTATGATTATTTTGCTTATTGAATTCAGACTGAATTTCATGAGGACAGGGACCACGTCTGTCTTGTGCATCTACTATACAGAAGATCCTTGACTTGTGATGGTTCAACTTAGGATCTTTCAACTGCATGATGGTGCAAAAGCAATATGCATTCAGCAGAAACCAAACTTTGAATTTTTACTTTTCATTTTTACCTGTGCTAGCATTGTGTGCTATGATATTCTCTTGTAACACTGAGAAGCAGCAGCAAGACACAGCTTTCAGTCAGCCACAAGATTGTAAGTGTAAAAACTTACACTCTACAGGGTACTGTGTTGTTAAGCTATCATGTTTGGCAGGTCAGTTTTAAATGCACTGTGACTTAATGATATTTTCAACTTATTGGGATACAAACCCAGCATTCGTTGAGGAGTATGTAAATTTCCAGTATCTAGCACAGTAGTGCCTAGTACAGTATAGGAACACAATAAATTAATGATTGGTATTGTCATATACTATCACAAATTTGTTAACATGTCTGTCTGTCCAACCACTTTGAGTTAGTTACTAATGTCAAAGACAGTTTCTGATGTTTTTCCTGAATTAATTATTTGTTGATTGTTGGCTGCCTTACCTATTCATGTTGGCTGCCTTACCTATTCATCATCTGTGTGTTAAGTACACTGTTGGTATATGAATGTCCATAGCATTTCAGTAATCTTGTTACAGAGACCCTAAACCAAAAAAAAAAAAAAAAACCACATAGTGGCTGGGGTTGTGGCTTAGTGGTGGAGTGCTTGCCTAGCATGTGGGAGGCACTGAGTTCAATCCTCAGCCAAAAATAAATAAATAAACACATAATGGTTCCACTTAAGTAGTTATACAACTTAATGGATACTTATGCCTTCCTTAGTAGTGGAAAATTGAAAAATAATGTATATAAACTGAGTAAAAAGATATTTTTATCTCACTCTTAGGTAGGCAAAACCAAAATGTTATTGAAATGCATGCACCCATTAGACATTACCTACTTTCTCAAACATGGGAAATAGATTGGACACCATGACTAATTTCTGTTTCACAATGATTTGCAAGCAGCACATACATTTTGATCACCGAACCCATCCAAAATCCATCTTCACAAGGATTGTCATCAAAGAGACTGTGCAATCTCATGTTGAAACTGAGAGCTGCTTGAGCTGGCAGTTTGCACTGTGTGACTGATGTCAAATATTGCTTTGTTTCCCTCAGACATCTAATATAATCCACGATATCCCAGTTAATTAGCAGTGGCACCCTTGGATGCCTCAGAACACAGTTTGGAAACCAAAGAGTAGGGACTTTTAAGTCTAGCAGACATGAATTGAAATCCTGGATTGACCTTGCTACTGATTATATGACCTTGACAAGTCAAATCATTAAAAACTTCCTGAGCCTTGGTTTCTTCATCTTTAAAAAATACAGATAATAAAATCACCCTTTTAGATATTTTGCAGAGATGAAATCAGATGATACTATGCATTTATGCACAACTCCAAGCATAGTTCTTGACACAGAGAAAGGCTACAGTAAATGATAATTCCCATTCCTCAAGAGAATAATGTGCCAATCTTTGCCCCATATGCTGTTAATCCTCTGCAGGTCCCTACCTGACACCTGTTCACCAAGTCTACCATAATCAAATATGTTCTGAAATTTTCCCTTTGTTAGGACACTCAGTCCAATTTTCTTCTATAGAGCAACCTTATCTTTCTCCCAAAAGTAGAAAATAGTCAACTACCCTTGAAATTTTTCTTAAATTGCCTTTATTAATACTATACCTGGACTCTCAAAAGCTCAGAAAGGAACTTTTTTCCCTTTGATATCTGCCTTCAACCATTTTCTCTATGGCAGTAATAGACAAAATTTGAACAGTGGATAGGCAGTGCAATAAAAAATGAAATTTTACCTTTTCATTCCTCTCCATTTCTATCTTCTCACCAGAAGGAAATATGGTTCAATGTCCTTATAATGAAACTCCTGATAAATCTGACTGCTTACCAATAACTTCCAAGTAACCCCAAAACATCATTCAGCTTCTCCAAAAAGCACTTGATTTCCCTAGCCTCTATAAAAGAATTTCAAGAGGCAAATGCAAAGACTCATTCCTTTTATTGGACAGTTAACTTTGGTCTCTAAAACCCATTTGATAAATGAGCTTTTCTTAGGATAGACAATATGGTGAACACAATATCCTATAGAACACCATGAAGTTGGACAGATCCAGTTTAAATCCTGGCTTTATCACTTCTTAATGTTGCAACTTGGAATTATAACTCTACCTTTCTGTGCCTGCATTTGCTTTTCTGTAAAACAAAGATAATGAAAAATATTTTTAAATAACACATAATTAAAAACAAGGTTGTCTTTTAAAGAAATTGAGAGATAAATTTTATACTTATATAATTATATCTATAATACAAATATAAAAGCACAGTTGCAGATATATAATCTATGCTCCATCACTAATGGAACATCACTGTCATCATCATCATCATCATCACCACCACCACCACCACCACACCCACTTTGTTCATACAAATAAGAACATTTTCCTGGATTAGCAACTTTTATCAATCTTGCTTCAGCAGTGTCATCCTCTCACATGGAGAGTCAGAAAACTCTAAAGAAGAGATGCAAGTTCACCACTAGTTGATAATCATACTATTTTCCTGGCCACTAAGATTCATCTTGCTTCACAGCAGAAATTCTTGAACAGGGTCAGAAAAGTATACCTGAGTCAGACCATACCTACCATGCAGAATTCTGGTCATGATTTTGGGATACAAGTTTGAAAGTTTATCTATACAAACAAGATGAGTTGAGTATTGAATGTATAGGACATAAGAATGAGAAAGTTAAACCCTTAGTTATGCTAATGTTTTGTGCTTATACAACTATTTGGTATGCTTTTTGTGTCTTTATTTTATTTATTTACATATTTTTGATTGAAACAAAATTCCTATGCTTGTATTAGGTATCATAAAAATATTTACTTTTTAAGTCATTATTTCACTCAAATAAGTTACCTTTACATTCATAAACTTGTTATTTCTAGATAGAAATCAGCACCAGTTCCTAATATCTAGTACCTTCATATTGCTGATGAATTGAATAAGGTCCAGAGAAGTACACTAACTTGCCCTAGATAACCTGATTAATAAATGGTAAAATAGGAATAAGATGGAAATATGACACCTTGTACCTGAAATTTTTTGACAAATCAACATATTTTTATGCCTTTCATGGTGCTGTTTCTCAGGCACCTTCTTCTTATAAATTGCTCTGTAGGTATATAAAGATGTTTATTCTTTATTGTGACACCTTCAAACTTTATCAAAAAGACTGGACTGACTCTAGGAAATGTTAGTTGTTTTGTTTACATGTCAGTAAAATCCCTGTAATAGAGTGCTTCCCTCTGTGGTTTGATTAGGCTAATAAAAGCAGGGTATAAAAGAAAAAAAATATTTTATGCTGATTTTATGAGATTATTTTCAAAATCCATAAAAATATAGGTTTCTCTCTTAAGCCCCAGTATTTTCATCAACCCCACTCTATTTTCTATCTCTCTTCTAATTTGACTCTTCTTTTTAAGTCTTTAATGTTCCCGTGCCAGGAGGTAACACTGTAGGGGAAGATCTCTGGCCTGGAAGCCAGAGGAATCATGCTCCAATGCTGGGTCTTTGTCTATTGTATGTGTAGGCCTGAGTTTGTTCTCAGAATCTGCTACAAGACAATGAAAGGGTAACTAAATGGTCTTTCTGTCTTCTATTGCAATATTCCTTTTTAAAAATTAACACGTTAGATATACCCTGTTTTTTTACAGGCAAATATTTCCATACAAACAAATAAACAAAATTTAAATGACAGAACTTAAGCATTAAAGAAATGGATTTGTATTGCTGCAAAACCCAAAGACCTAAGCCTGTCTCTGTGGAGTCCTTGGCAATAGATGAAAGTCATAATAAGAGTCTCTGGCTGTTCATTAAAACAACCAATTATTTATTGGAAAGATTTTTTTAATTTCTAATATTTTTGTCCTCAAATATATTCTTACTCTGATTAAATAAAATGTTTCTAAGGTTGTAAATGTTCCAAAATAATAAGATATTAAGAATATGAAACAACCAAAAAATTTTGAACTTGAATTAACATTAATTTTAAGCAAAGTATACATAAAGATAGCTGCCATGCATAGATTTTTATCAGTACTTATTTATGGTATTTTCACATCTAGAAGAAAGTAAGCATTTGGCATTCTGCCTTGCCTAATGCTTTCACTACCTGGTTAAGTGGGAATAAAAATTTGAATTACTGGCTGGGGTTGTGGCTCCATGGTAGAGCGCTTGCCTCACATGTGTAAAGCACTCAGTTCAATCCACAGCACCACATAAAAACAAATAAATTAAATAAAGGTATTATGTCCATCTTTCCATCTACAACTAAAAAATATTTTTTAAAGTCTGAATTACTGAAGTTTAAAATTTGTGAAGTTTTTTACGTGTTCATTTGTCATTACAAAATTATGTTCTTGTCCATTGAACTGCATTACACTCAATTAATGGATATAGAATGAAGAGTTAGCAGACCACATTGGTCACCAGAAAACTAGAAAACTTAGAAAGAAGGCATAGCAGGACAAGAGCAGTGGAGGAGATACTCACCCAAGAAACAGTAGCAATTAAGAGGGAGAGTGGCAGAAAAAGTAGGTTATATAGGACCCTAGGGCACATTCATATGGCAAGGGATGACCAAAAAAAATCCTGTTGGTCAATGATATCCCTTTCCCTTAGAACTCTTAGAGCATTCATCTGTTAGATGTCTTACATGTGTATATATCATATATATGTATGGATCTTACTACTCATGTAGACCTTAAAATTCAGTACAGTGTTAAAATGAGTTGTATCTCATCTCCCCAGGTAGATTGCAAACTCTCAGAGGGCCACATTTTGTCTTTCTTTGGAAACTCTACAGTTCTTTGCACAGTGCCAGCCATAAAAACAGCAGTCAAACTGACGAATAAAAGAGTACTCAACTCAGAGATACATAATGGTTCATTTTTTCCCAATGCCCCATAGTCAATTAAATTCTAGAGTCACATTTTTTTTTTATCTGAGCCAAATAAAGCTATTGCCATCTTGGTTAACCATTGTTTCAATGTTTACTTTCCTTGTCCTGTATTATTATATCTCTCAGGATTCTTTTGTTCATCCAGCTAATGAAATGAGGATTGGGGAGCTTCACCCTTCATTAGCTGAGACCCCTCTGTACCCACCCAAACTTGTTCTGCTAGGGAAGGACAAAAAAGGTAACATCATGAAGCTGATGTGGAAAATATGCGACAAATGCATGTGCATGATGAATCACCAGTTGTACATTGTGATATGCCATAGTCTATTAAAATTACTTTATAAATACATGTTCTAACATTAATCAGTATAGAATTTGTTTTTCCTACTTACTTTTCTGTGTTTGTGTTTGTCAATGTTCGTAGCATTATAACATGTTTCCCTTTAAATTTCAGAATCAACTGATGAGTCTGAAGTTGACAAAACTCACTGTCTGAATAACAGTGTTTCCTCAGGCACTTACTCAGACTACTCGCCTTCCCAGGCTTCCTCAGGATCCTCTAACACCCGGGTTAAAGTGGGGTCCTTGCAGACAACAGCTAAAGATGCAGTTCATAATTCTTTGTGGGGTAACAGGTGTGTTGAGAATTCCCACTTTTCTGTTCCCAATCGCTTATTTCCAGCAACTTTTTTTTTTTAAATGGAATCTTCATAATTTTGGAATTGTATTCAACACATGAGTGGTATAGAAGACAGAATGGGGCAGGTAAGCAAATGTAGTTCACCTGGGATCTTCCAAGAGCAAATGAATCCATCTTACAGGGTGAGACTGCTGATTAAGTGGGTGAGGGTAGGAGATTAACATGATGACATGGTAGAACTAGAAAACTTAATAGTCAAAAATTGTGTTTGGCCAACACATGTTTATGAAGCATGTGGACAATTCGCCATCCAAAATGATGTTATGCGCTAAGATAAGATGCATGTGAAGCACTATGTGCCTGGCACAGAGTAAATATTTCATCAGTTTCCATCGTTGACATCATCATCACCGTCACCATCATCATTTATCATCACCTGAAGTTAGGATGCGTGTAAAAGTACTTAAGCTCTGCAAAATGACTCCCACTCTTTATTACTCCCATTTTATAGATGAAAGAAACAAAGCCACACTGCATAATAAAATGACTCAGTGAAGTAGTATTTGCCTTCTAATTGCTCAGTTTTATAATTTATGGCTACAGTTTTATACTAAAAGTAACAAAAGTTGTCATATGATCTAGGTAGTCAAAACCTTTACTCCTATTTTACTGCTAATGTGCTCCCTCTTCTCAATGCCTTCTTTAGTAATTCATCAATGATTATTTCTCTTCATCAATGACCATGATTAAAAAATCTTAACTCTAAGTGTTTATGTGAGCTTATATTAATCAAAGTAGTTTTAGAACATGCTTTCTAAATGCAAATTTTTTCCAGTTAAGAGAAGCCCACAAAATCTTTTCCTTTATTAATAAAATATGCATTATTTAGCCAAGCCCAGCAACAGCAAGGTGCTAAGCAACTCAGTGAGACTCTAAATAAAATACAAAATAGGGCAGGGGATGTGGCTCAGTGTTCAAGTGGTCACGTGCCCCTGAGTTCAATCCCCAGTAAAATATTGATTTTATATATAATTCGATATTATTGGTGTGCAAATGGTTTTAAATAAAGTCAGAAAGAGGAACATATACTAAAGATATACTAGAGACACTCACTGTTATAAATTTGCCAGTGACACAAAGTCATACTTCACATTCTAAAAAGAGATACCTGAATGTGCTTGATACTTCAACAATAGTATTAGCATCTTCAAGACCTGGCCTTATTTGAAGACATTTTGAATCCATCAGTTATATCAATAATTGTTAAGAAAAGTATTCTCAACCAATATATTAGAAATGGACTGAATCAGAATTTCCAGGAATAAATACTGGGGATCAGATGATTATATTTATCAATCAGGTTTGAGGGCCATCACTGAAGACAATCATGCCATCCATTCATTCCTTCAACAAATACATGTTTAACGCCTACTATGTGCCAAGCCCTTTTCTTAGCCTGAAGAGAAAAAGATCTCTGCCCTCATGAGTTTGCATTCTAGCAGAGAACATGAGATGATATACAATAAATTTCAAAGGTAAGTAAATTTTAAAATGTAGTGGAAGGTAATTATTACTAGAAAGAAGTGAAAGAAGAGGGTAAAGGAGTGGATTTCGGAGACACAGAGGACATGAAATAATACTATCTTAATCCTAAATCAGATCAGGATGAATGATCAGCTCAACAGACATGGTGGCCCACTTTCAGTGCTTGTTCATCTTAACAGAAACCAACTCTTCCTTTTTTTCATATTTCTTCTTCCCTTTGTGTTTACAGGATTGCGCAATCTTTCCCACAGCCTCTGGATGCAAAGCCATTGCTCAGCCAGCGAGAGGCTGTTCCCCCAGGGAACCTACCACAGAGACCCGACCGCCTGCCAATGAGCGATGCTTTCACTGACAACTGGACTGATGGATCCCATTACGACAACACAGGGTTTGTTTCTGAGGAAACCGCAGCTGAGAATGCCAACAATAATCCTCTCTTGAGTTCCAAGTCTAGAAGCACATCTTCTCACGGACGCAGGCCTTTAATCAGGCAGGATAGGATTGTTGGTGTTCCCCTGGAACTTGAGCAGTCTACACACAGACACACGCCAGAAACAGAAGTGCCTCCTACCAATCCTTGGCAGAATTGGACCAGAACCCCTAGTCCATTTGAAGACAGGACCGCTTTTCCTTCCAAATTAGAGACAACCCCCACTACCAGCCCTTTGCCTGAAAGGAAAGACCATCTGAAAGAATCTACTGAAATACCCAGTCCTTTTTCTCCAGGAGTACCATGGGAGTATCATGATTCCAACCCCAACAGGAGTCTTGGTAATGTCTTTTCTCAAATCCACTGCCGCCCAGATTCTTCTAAAGGTGTTATTTCAATTAGCAAAAGCACAGAGAGGCTTTCCCCCCTAATGAAAGATATAAAGTCCAATAAATTCAAAAAGTCACAAAGTATCGATGAGATTGACATTGGCACATACAAGGTTTATAACATACCATTAGAAAACTATGCTTCTGGAAGTGATCACTTAGGAAGCCACGAACGACCCGATAAACTGTTGGGACCAGAGCATGGCATGTCCAGTATGTCTCGAAGCCAGTCGGTCCCAATGCTGGATGACGAGATGCTCACCTATGGAAGCAGTAAAGGGCCACAACAGCAAAAAGCTTCTATGACAAAAAAAGTCTACCAGTTTGACCAAAGCTTCAATCCTCAAGGAGCAGTGGAAGTCAAAGCGGACAAGAGGATACCACCCCCTTTTCAGCACAATTCGGAGTACGTGCCACCGTCCACCAAAAACATGGCCAAGGATTTGGTTAGTCCTAGAGCTTACCGAGGATACCCACCCATGGAGCAAATGTTCTCCTTTTCTCAGCCGTCCGTTAATGAGGATGCTGTGGTGAATGCCCAGTTTGCAAGCCAAGGAGCCAGGGCAGGCTTCTTGAGGAGAGCTGACTCCCTGGCAAGCTCCACAGAAATGGCCATGTTTAGAAGGGTCAGTGAACCTCACGAGCTGCCACCAAGTGATAGGTATGGCAGGCCTCCTTACAGGGGAGGGCTAGATCGCCAAAGCAGCGTGACAGTGACTGAGTCCCAGTTCCTGAAGAGGAATGGCAGGTATGAAGACGAACATCCTTCCTATCAAGAAGTGAAAGCTCAGGCGGGAAGTTTTCCAGTTAAAAACCTAACCCAGAGGAGGCCATTGTCTGCGAGAAGCTACAGTACAGAGAGTTACGGGGCCTCCCAAACCAGGCCAGTTTCAGCTAGGCCAACTATGGCAGCTCTTTTGGAAAAAATACCGTCTGACTATAACTTGGGTAACTATGGTGACAAGCCATCAGATAACAGTGATATAAAGACGAGGCCCACCCCTGTGAAGGGAGAGGAGAGCTGTGGTAAAATGCCTGCAGACTGGAGACAACAGCTGCTTAGACATATAGAAGCTAGAAGGTTAGACAGGGTATGTTTGGCATTTCTCTGTAAGAATATCCCCCCTGCCTTTAGTTTTACTTTTTTTTTTCTTTTTTGGCATTTCTAAGCACATGTAGTGAAGCATGAAATACATGAATGAAGAGATGATCAGCACTTATTTGTCTTTCTATTGTGGGGGGAAATGATCCTAATAGTTTTTCATGGGTATTGCTTAATGCTTTCTGAGAGTCCATAACCTGCAAGTGAATTATTTATCAAATCTAGCCTAACTATTGTTAGTAAGAAAGAATTTGACTCTATCATATGGGATGGTGTTTCCAATTGTTTTCTAGCCATTAAGGCAAGGCAAAAATGCCTCTCCTAGGACACAAAACTGCTCTCTGGTGACCTAAAGAGTATGGTTTTTATTGAATCTATAAAAAGTGAGTATTTCACCCTTTTCTTCACAGACTCACTTATGTTAAACTCGGGCATAATCTGTTTATAAAATTTGCACATAGTTACTGCTATGGGACTACTAAACTTATTACTTCTAATGAGCAATAATCTTCCCAGCAAGAAAAAGAAAAAAAGAAAATAAGCAGAGATTAAATGCCCTCCTACACACTATTTGATTTAATAAAAATTCTGCCATTTAGAATATTGGTTTTTATACAGAAGAAAATATATAAATTCCAATTTTACTACTGACAACAAAAACAGATGATGTCTTTATATAAAGACTATAGACATACAAATTAGTATGTATATTGCAAAAAAAGAAAGAAAATCAATGCTAATTCAGTTAAAAATTGAGTCAGAATAGTATGGAATGCACAGCCCAGTGATTGGGAGAGTTTAAAAAAAAGTTATAAAGCCTTTAATTGTTTTGTTGTTGTTGTTGCCTGTTCAAATCTAAGAGAAATCTGGTACTTCACTTTCTAAAACTATTATCAACCTACTGTCATCATTCAGTAGGCCTCGTGGCTTTGGTGTAGAAGGCTTTGTGTGCTCTGCAGTGACACTAGAACATTGAAGATTTGTGTGTGTGTGTGAAATTGGGGCCTTTTGTTCTCATTTTCTAAGTTCAAATCCTCTATGTAAACTGGGGATCTGGGTAACAAGATGCTATTGGAATGTTTCACTTAGTAGTTTTATTATTTTAGTTTGTGTCCTGCAAAAAACACAGGTCACTGCATTTATTATGTATTTCTTTAGTAATAAATTTTATGTTTTCAGGTTTATTCCTTTTAAATAATTACACTATTGTAGGTCGTGTCTACATGACAAGAAAACAATTTTTTAGGGGAAGAGTAAACTAATAAATGTGGGCATGGGTATTAGTTTCTCAGTGTGGAAATTGGTTCTACCTTGCAAAATATTTCATCAGAATGTCTGTTTCAAATAGGTTGCTCAGTCCCATTGAAGGGAGCCTCATCAAAGCCGCATGACTGGCTGTCAGTGGGAGACACCTGGTCGGTTGTCACCATGCCTTACCTCAAGTTATGCCCTCCATGTAGACAGATAACTTGGAGGGCGAAAATATTTGGGGCCAAATAATACAGTACAGTTTGGGAACTCTGGCCTCGTGTAGACACGACCATACGTAACAGGGTAAGATGAACTAGTCAAGAAAGGTTATTAGAAGATTTGTGCAGCATATGTACAATGACTGGTAATTTGAGGCAGCAGAAGAGTGAGTGGAAAGAAAGCATGAAAACAAAAAGATAAATTTCTAAGCATTTGGTACCATCAGGTTTTTTGTTTACTGTTATCCCAGATACATGGTTTCTCTCCTTTGATTCAATAACCAAAAACTAGATGGCTCCTCTAGATGGAGCAAGAACATGGGGGGACCCTGGGTGTACAGGAATGAGGAGGGGGATCGAATCAGGTAACTAAAAGTGTATCCATGTGTACTTTCTCTATTTTCTCTTATCACAATGACACCTCCCTTTTTAATTAGTCTCCATATACCCTCTGTTTGTTTGTAATTCCTTGGACCTATCTTTCCCAGAGCAACTTCAACATATATTCAGTAGTTTCTCATTTAATTCCAAGAAGTTAATTTCCTTAGGATATTGCTTTAAGTCTTCAGATCCTAGAAGCTCTTCCTTTTTTGTTTTCTCCAAGTAGCGTTTCTTTCCCCCTTTCAATTGAGCTTCTGAGCAGTTCAGGTTATGAATTACTTAAAACTCCCTAGCTACTCAACAAGATGAACTCAGGCACCAAAGCACGGACTTACTGCATAAAACTGGTTTTGACACAGCTGTGCTGCTTAATATTCTGCCCAGAGTCTGACTGCACCAGACATGATATGCTTCTTTCCCAGTGAAACTTAGTTGAAACATTTGAATCCCTGAAACTAAATAGCTACGCTAGAAACTATAAGATATTTGTGAGTCCGCATACACGACAACTGCCTAGAGGCTGGGTATGGAATAAGGTTAATAGTCCAAATAATATTGGCAAAAGATCTCAGTGCTGACCTTAGAGATGCAGCTCCAAGTGCTACCCTAGATAAAAGATGCTTACGTTCCCCTTCACTTTAACCACAAAGCTCGCACTTCTACTGCAGATTTCCACTGTGACAGAAAATTTAAAGCATGAACCCATATGTCCTACTCTTCTATAGGAGCTGAAAGAGCACTAGACTGAGTGATCTAAACTCTAAGGAATCATCCAAGTGCCAGATCAAAATGTTTAGTGTCTTTTTCACTTTGAGTGTGGTGACTGTGAAAAATCTCTGTATGAAATAATCATGAATTCATAACAAGTATGTGTAGACAAGCACCTCATCAGGAGTATAAGAATCTTTCAGTATAGCTCAATGAAATGTTGATGCTAATAATCATTACTTTGCAAATAATGCTCTCAGAATAGAATAGCTACCTGCTCATAATGCTCAATAATTTTCAGTTAAGAAAAATTGTACTCAGTTAACTTCTATGGATAATTTTTTTTCCAAAATAAGAGAATTAAAGAAACCAAATGCTGTCAATTATTAGATTTCTGTTTTAGGCTATAGATTTGATAACAAGGCATCTAAAATGTTTTAATTTTTCGAGGAAGTTCTATAGAAAAAAATTATTAATTATTTAGAATAATTTTAGATGCATCTGTTGAAGAGTAGCTAAGATGTAAATAAGTATTTAGATTCATTTGACAAGTAACATTAATAGTTCACACATTATAATTACTTCAATATAATTATGCAATTATCTTGTTTAAAAGGTAATTATTTAGAAAAATACAATATATTGTTCTACATCCAACTTATTTGATTGGTATAAATGAATTAATAAGTGGATTCAATCAAGTCAATAGTCAGAATTAATGATTTTTTTGGACCAGATGTTTTTTCTGAGTTGCTATATTTTGTCTATAGACTTGAACAATAATGAAGAAAGATCTTGGCTTTAACATTGCAATGCTTTAGTTTAAGGCAGATTTAGGAGATAATATTTGTCTTTCATATGTGATGATCTCACAATGTGAAAGAGACCATGAGATTTGTAGCCAATAAAATGTGGTTACTATCCGTTTGAATTTTCAAAATTAATGCACTACCACAGGATGGACAATATTTATCCAAAGTCACTACTATCATGGTATCTAAGAGACAGATTTTATGCCTTTGAGTTAGCAGCAAGTGCAAGGCAGAATGTATCTTCTTTGCTTTTTGTCCTTTCTGTAGTTTTGGATGGTACTCATTATGTGCATAACTAACACTGTTGACTGTATGCTTTTTGTCTGATCAAGTGCATGTTTTTAAAAGAAAGTTACTGTTTGCCCGCTTAAAGTTAAATGTTATAAATTTAAACATGTTCATGTAATAATCAGTTTGTTGAGCATGTGTTCACATCCTGTCACATGATTATTTCCTCTACTCAGAATGCTGCTTACAAACACAACACAGTTAACCTTGGCATGCTGCCCTATGGAGGTATTTCAGCAATGCATGCAGGCAGAAGCATGACTTTAAACTTGCAGACTAAGTCTAAATTTGATCATCAAGAACTACCTCTTCAGAAAGTAAGTATGGACTGCCCTACATGTGTCAGCATACCAAAGCCAATTAATATTGTTTGTTCACTTAATGTATTTAGGCTGTACATACAACCCTGTTCATTAGACTCTTGTGAGTCCAAAAAGCACAAGGGTAAATAATGTAGAGCCTAAATTCTCAACTGCTAAATGTATATTTGTAGCTAGACTGATTATTGGGTTCCTGCTTTTGGGATTGAGCTTTGCTTTTTGGATTGAGCAGGTACATGGCTTTTTGTGTTGCTTTAAGGCTCATTTTTTCCTTATTCCTCATTTTTTTCTATTCTTCTTTGTTTTTCTTTTTTTGTATTTATATATTTATTTTTAATTTTTTAAATATATCCTTACCTTCTCTTGATGATGCATTCTGAGAACAGAACTGGAAATTATTATTGGATTTCAGGTGATTTCTTTGGAAAAGTTGTATACCCCAAAATTAAAATGGAAATTAAGTGCTTGATGCTTCTAAACACTTTTTCAGCCCATATTTTGGGAAATACAACACAGAAATAAAAGAAGAAAAGCAAGTTTGGGGCTAAATTAGCAATCAGTGCCCTTCCTAGGTTAATGGAAAAGTATCAAGTTCACCCCTTTTTAAATGGAAAGGCAAGCACATTTGAAAGTAATGTGCTATTAAGAGAAAACATTTTCGTTGCCAAAGAAACATTTCTGCAAAATTGAGAATGTCCATTTTACCTATTTAAATTGATTAATGTTTTATCTCTTACATTTCAATGCAACTGAGTCATTTTCATAAAATACATCATTATAGCTATATATTAATATAGTAATTAACCTAGTAAGTTTTTGTGGGAAAAAAATAAGTACAAAATAGGGATAACGGAGTGATAGCAGATTCCAAACATATTTCTTTCCTAATAAAATTAATGAAAATTTGGAACAAATTTTTTTCTCAGAAAAATGAGGGTCATATGTTCTCAAATTCATGTTTCAATGTCAAATTAGTCTTTAATAAAATTCCCTAACTCTTGATGGTTTGATTCCCACTGTGAATGGAGTAACAAAATCAAAAGGACACTTATATCCATAGCTTTTTCTTCACTCAACATCTTTTGGAGAAAAACACCCTAACTACATTGAGAACTTTTGAATATCAGTTTTCCAGACCTCAGTCTCCGGTAGCACATCCAGTGGTGTGCTGATAACTTTCTCTTGAGGGAGCAATGTTCTGATTTGTGATGTTTGCTAATGTCCACAATATAAATACTCCTAGTATGACCAATTTCAAAGTACCACCTTAATGTCACTGAACCCCAAAATGGGGTACATATGGCTGGCTCTCACAAACCAGCACAAGTTGGCTCCAGCACACCATCAACATGGCCATCTTCAGTTGAGTTCCCACTTTAATGAACCCTGTTCCTCGTGTCCTCTCAGATATCCACAGCAACCATCATCTTTCCTAACCAAACCAATTTTAAAAAGGCCTTCAAACTTTTCTGCACTAAGGAATAGATATCACAACTTACATGGCCAACTTTCCTACGGGGACTGGGGATTAAATAGAAAGCAAATCTTTAAACTAAAATAATGAAATTTCAAAATCCATTGAGCTTATTAAAGAGATATCACTATGAAGAAAGCTATTATCTGAACCATCTGAAATTATGCTAAATGGAAGCTCCCTAATTTTGCCTAATTTGGAGCCCTATTTACTTTCCAGATATGAACTAGTTACATCTATGTTGCTGTATTAACTTTATGATATGGCTTGGAGTACCCTAGAGAATGGGTTCATTATCACTATAGCTCTAAAATATTCTATAACAGAAATAATACAGAATGGCATTTAGGAACTGTTTAAAATCATCCTTACTTGGGTATAGAGATAACCTACAGGAATTCTCTATGTAAACCACATTAAATTGCAATTCAGAACAATTCAAATATTGAAACACTTTAGAATAAATTACTATTTAATACTTTATTTCCTGAACACAAAAAAAAAGTTAATGAGAAAGAAGAAGAGGAAGAGATGGTAGGGGATGAAAAAGGAAAGAAGGGAAAGTACTTCATTACTCCAAAAAGATTTTATGATTCAAAAATTATCAGTGTAAGGCCTTTAAGCTTTAAGCACTTAGGCATCTTCTCACCCCATCACCAATGTAGGAACCTTATGAGGCCTGGGTGTTTATGAGTGTCTCAAATTGCTCCCAGACTCTGTTTCCTCCCATGAATTCCCATCTAAGTATCTGTCTGTTCACCTCTGCCCAGTTATTTCTTCTTTGCAGAGCTTTCATTTGAAATTTGTTTGGTTTGTTTTGGCAAACCTTTAGTGTCAACCTTCCTTAAAAATACATTCTCTCAGATTATTCATCCCTGGCTATGCTGGCCATTGCTAACTGGTCCCATGATGGATGCACCATTTTCCTGAATCTTTCTTGGCAGGAGAGGAGGCTGACAAGAATAATTTTCCTTTGATTTATAAATGCATAAAAATTTACTATAACAAAATTTTGTCTTGCTACTTAATATAATAAAAATTAGTGTCTTGGGCATTTAAGATTGCTTTTCAGCCCCTATATGCTCATTAGCCATAAGAATTGCACTAACGTGTAGTGCAACATCTATTTATAAATATGTCCAGTAAATAAAATTGACAAAACTGTTCATTCCTTGGTTGGGAAATTCTGGGCCAGTCTCTATTATTCATAAAATTTCTGAATGATAACCCTGACTGACTTCAGTTAGATATTGTAGCAAATTACTCTAATATGTCCTAGAAAGAATTAATGAAGTTTCCTAACTAATCTAAGTTCACATTTGCCACTATTAAAAGTTAGTATAGGAAATGGAGGTGCAATGTACACTAATATGGGTCGTGCCCTGCTAAGGGAACACAGGGCTGTCTCTTGCAACCAGGAGGAAAGAGCACCTGTCTGAATTTCTTCTACTGCACAGACACTGTCCTTAAATTGTGCTAAACTAATTAAGGATAGAACTATTTCCGAATGAAGATCAAATAATTCTGACACTTGATGAAGCACTTACATAGAAAATATTTATGAGATGGAAAGGAAAGACACTCCCAGATTTTGCTATATATTTTGACTCTTTCTAAAATTTTCATACTTATTACTTGCCAGGTCAAGTATTGTACATTTTTCATAGGCCTCAAGTATTGTATATTTTTATAGTATAGGCCTCCTATACTATAAGCAGTAAATTACATCTTCTGTAACATTTTCATGGAATCATTTAAAATATTTTTAGAATGTCAACAAATACAGCAAAATCCATTTACTGAATTAATTTCCTTTAATATTTTCAGTTGTTGATATATATGACCATTCTCAAGAATATTTAATAGTACTTATGAACATTTGACAAATAAATCAGCTACTTTAAATTATAAAATAATCAGCATTTTTATTTGTTCATTCATTCATTCATTCATTCGTTTCTTTCTTCATTTATCATTTATTTACTGCCTTTCCAAAAAGCACTTAAGGCAACTTTCTATGATGTGATTAATGTTTCCATGTGCTTCTTTGGATGTGTTCTATTGTAATTGAGCTCAGTTACTGTCTTGAAATTTTATGTCATCAGAGACAAAGACAACATTGTAAAAAAAATGTCAGTTCAATCTACCATTTTTATTATCTAGATTCATGCTAGAATAAATAAATATTTCCATTGGGAGAAAACTAAAGATTAGGAATTACTGGGCATCTGCTGCTTATCAAGTGGCATGAGGTATTTTAAATATGTTATTTTTTTCTCATGACTCAATAAAAACCCTCACAGGACATAAATATCTCCATACATGAGGAAACTGAGGATCTTATCACAAAATATCTCAGCTGCATTTTTATTGTTTCACTGTTGAAGTCTTTGTACCTAGCATCATAATAGACAGAATTTAAATCTGGTCCTGACTGGTACCCAGATTCAAGCTCTTTCTACAATACGATGATTCTTTCTCAAATGTTTGGAAAACCTGACATTTTCATAGAACATGAGTCATAATAGTTGATAAACCTCCTTTGTATGCATTATTATCTCACATCATCTTCAATAAAATCTAGAGAAGTAAGTATTATAGAATGTAAAAAGAATATACAAGTAGAATATTTTAACTAGTGACCTTAGTCATTACCCATGTGCCACAAGTATATGCTGTCTTAGTTGACTGCGCCTAATGAATGCTAGTAGTTACCAATGCTTTTCAGACCCTCTTGCATTTCCTGAGCATTCAGTGTCACCAAGAAATATTCTTGGTAGCAGCGAAAGGCTAAAGATTATGGACTCAAGAAAATCACACGTTAATCATGTAGGCTACTGTAGCCCCAGAGACAATCAGCTGGGGAAGAAATCATTTGCCTTTCCTAATTCCCTGTTTGCTAGGTATCTGGCCGCCAATGTAAACAGTATGATCTCTTCTCCATCAAAGAAATAGATAATTTTATCTTATTTTTAATTCCTATTATCAGAACAGACCATAGAATCTACTACTTCTTGACTTATAGAATGAGGCACTAATAATATAAATGAATTATAATTTCAGGGAAGGGGAGGCTGAAGTCATGGAAATGTATGTATTAAATATTTCTTTTATTGAATTTTGCCTGGGAGAAAATGGCCCCATCTGTTTTATTAATTGATAAATTAATTGATACTTCTCTTGCCAGCTTTTGCGTTAGAGAAATCTAGAGAGCAATGTTTGCACCTAAACTATTTTTAAATTCTAATGTCCTTTCTTACTGGATCTATGCAAATGACTTAGGATCAGATAGTACCAACATTTGGTATGCATTTATTCACCCTAATGCCAAGGGTTACTTACCTAATGCCATTTTTTTCCCACTGCTGAAAGCAAAGCAAGATTTATGCTGCACCTGGGGCAAGTCAGCCCTATATTCTCGATTGATTGTGTTGCATTTATTATTGGCTACCTATCCCTCAAGAAAGATTCTCTTACCTTTCTAATTATGAAAAAAGCCTTCAGCCTGTAAATCCACATAAATCCGCATAGACAGCAGCTAAAATTAACAAAATAATGTTAGTACTTATACAGATGCTTCATTGCCATTATAATGAAGTGCTGGTTTAAAAATCACTTGGGCATTGCATTACCACCTTCAGATTAAACCCTATAAAATCATAATCATTTAGAAACTAGTTCAGCATATATTTGCCTTTGTAAGACCTATTTTGTCAAAAGGCATGCTGAAGAAAAAATATATGTGTGTGTATACACACACACACACACACACACACACACACACACACACATATAATTTCACTTGAAGTACTTTGGAGCAAATTGTTTTTAACACATTTTTTTTAATCTGTGATAATGCCTTTGTGAACTGTGTGCCAATTCCTAAACAAAATAGATCCTTGGGACATATCCTCTGGATATGTCCTTTGCAAAGTGCCAAATTCTAACATAACGCTCATAAAATTTTTAGCAAAATGCCAATAAGTATAATTTCACAAGAATATTGTGCACCCATCTATTAGCAGACAAGAGCAAAGGCGCTGGATCAGCTAAGCTGACCTAATCACAGATGTAAATGCTATTCATATATATCCTTACACACCTATACCTACAGACAGACATGCATTTGTCCGACATATACATGCTTTAAATATACTCACATATGTACATATAAACACATATTCATGCATATTTTTTTCAGCAAAATTAGAAATCACTTCTTTTTATAGATACTTGTGGTCATTTATAATAATCAAAGTCATAAAAGTTAAATCTAGAAATGTCCGCACTAAACTTGGGGCTAATATCTGTCCAGCAAGACTTCCATAGAACATTATTGTACTTCTTACTACAAACAAAATTTTTGCTTTTTCACTAAATCATACTAGCCTATTATTTATTGCTATTTTTTTAAAATTTCTTTTAGTTGGAGATGGACATCATATCCCTTTATTTTACTCATTTTTTTATAAAGTGGTGCTGAGGATCGAACCCAGTGCCTCACACATGCTAGGCAAGCACTGAGCCACAACCGCAGCCCCTTCTCTATTTTGAAATATTAAAAACATACAGAATTTAGAAACTTAGGAAATTGTGCATTGTGATGAGTTTCCATGTCTTTTATCTCTATTTGGTTATATATGATGAGAGAAATAAGAGTCATCTTCACTCTTTAAAGTATTTAAAGAAAATATCAAGAATGTCATATGAGAAATGAATAGCTAAACCTCAGTCTGATTATTTTCTTTGGAATAATAATTTTCAACAGTGATAGCATCTATTTTTTTTCTACATTTCAGTTGTTCCTTTTCATTTTTATAGAATTTTAACAGTTCAGTAACTAAATTTATATACAATAGGTGCTCCTTTAGAAAAGAATGTGAATGTGCTATATAATTCACTTTTCAGTCCCTACCGCCACCACCCAACATCAATAAATTGTTTTTATGATCTTTGTATTTCTGTATACTTAAATCACAACTAGGATATCTCATTTAAGAAAACAAAAATGGCAGATAATTCTTGAAATTAATCATGGAAATTGCTTTCAGGAGATTCTTTTAATTTTGCTATCTAGTCAAAGGATCATTTTATGTGTCTGCATGTTTATGTTCCTTCTGTCCCCTGTAATATAGGAGAATTGGTGTGATTGTTAATTGTCCTTTTTAAAAAGAGAGACTAATTTTTCCTCTAGTGAGAAGCCTAGACCATGATGATGTTAGGATTTTGATAAAATGGATTTAGTCATTTTATTCAATGCCAAAAAGAATGTTGTGATTCTCAATTGCTCTCTGACGGTGACTAAGTGTCATGCCTGGGCCAGTGAATCAAATGTAGTAGAGGAAACAGATGAAGATGGGAATGATACAGAGAGCAAAAAAGGAAACCTGTATTGAATTCTGGCCTTTTCTCAAAAACCTGTACTGCAGAGATCTGGTCCAGAGGAACATGCTTATTATGCCCTGTCACTAGCAGAGAACGCAACCCAGAAAAGACATGGGACCTAAAGAATAATAAATAAAATACTAGTCAGTACTGCTTAACCTGCATAACTATGTTTGCATAATTTAGTATTTTGATTTTCCATATTTAATATTCAGAAAATATGAGTATGGGCATACATAAACAAATTTACCTAGAGAAGATAAATATTAGAAAACTCATGCTTGAAAAAGACAGGCAAGCACTGGATAGCTGTCTGGTTATTTTCAGGTAATGTATTCTTTGTGTTATGTACATTTGATTTTTCAAACACAAATAAATTTATCCCTAACTAACAACTCAAGACCTTAAATTCAGAAACATTTTTCTTTCTTCACACTTTCTAATTAGCTTGTGAAAAAAAAGAGTTTACATGGCCAAAGCAAAAGAAGACAATTGAGTTGTCTCTTTACTTTTCATTATATTCAATTGAGTCTCACAATAAAATCCCATTTAAAATATTTCCAAGCAATGCTTTCTAAAAAGTGCATGTGGTCAGAATACAGATAGGTTAGTTACATAATTGTGTTCTAAAGGAGGACAAATGAAGACCATTCTGTATAAAAAGATGAAGCCTGGCAAGCAGTCCATGGTGGCATATTATAAAGAAAATGACCCAGTCTCCTTTCAGGGTGTTGGAGGACAAGTCCTCAGACAAAATACACTGTACATACAATTTTTTTTTTTGGACTAGGAATTGAACGCAGGGACACTTTACCACTGAGTTATATCTCCAGCCCTTTTTATTTTTTATTTTGAGACAGGGTCTTACTAAGTTGCTCAGGTTCATCACAAAGTTGCTGAGGTTGTCCTTGAACTTGCAACCCTCCTGCCTCAGCTTTCCAAGTGACTGGGATTATAGGTGTGCACCATAGCCCTGGTCCATACATACATTCTTCAACCAGGCTTTATTAGTAGGGATCCTTCAGCACATGTACAAAGAATAGCATACCATGTCAGTCTCATAAGTATTCCCTAGGCAACCAAACAGTTCTTTTGTATCCTAAAGGTTAGGGGAGGAAAAGACCTTATCCCTCCCCCCAAACAATATTATACACACACACATACAAACTTTGTATATGTCACCGTGTATCTTTCCAATAGAGGCTATCTTTCTCGTGGTATGTGATGACTAGCTATTACTCAGACTAGAATATTGAGTTCTCTCAAAATTTCTAGTATTAGTAACAATAAAGATAGGTATATTATTATTTGTTAAAAGTAATAAGCCAGAAATCAGTTTAAAAAGTAAAAATGTTATGAAGCTTAAATTATAACATGATTTATCTAAATAAATAAATTTGGTATCATAAACAATCAGGATTTATTTATACTGAGATTCTAATAACATAATATTTTTGATGTTGTTTTAGCCTTTCCCTCAATCTACCTACTAATAATGGCTTAGTACCATAAATCTTGTGCTATGCCAGTGTTAATACTATTTTGTATTAGTAAAATGCATATTCTCCCAAAAATTATTACAGCCTTATAAAAATTATTTTAGGTTATGGTTTGGAATATTGGAAGTTCCATACTATGGATTATATGGTTTCTATTTATATTCTAAATGGTAAGATCATATTAAAGAGACAAATTCAGCAAGCTTTAAAGGTTGTGGTTTTTAACAATGGATTAATTTTATTCTGATTATTTTTTATTTAGGTACTGTAAATAATCTAAACTTTTCTTTAAAATTCAGTAAATAGCTCTAAGATTGTTATTTTACTTGTATTTCCAAAAAGCTGTTGGTTTAGAATTCTTACTCAGTAAATAGTATATAATAATATTTCCAGTTAGGATATATGTTTTTTTTACAATCAAACAAAATTAATTTTACCATAATTATTAGGGACTCTTTTCAGAAAACTATGGTAAACTTCTATTACATCACTAAAGAATGCCATACCATTTTCGCAATAGACCCCGTCCCAGCAAAGCAACATTTTAGACAATGGACAAGAGGATGTATCTCCTAGTGGCCAATGGAATCCTTATCCACTTGGGAGGCGGGATGTACCTCCGGACACCATTACTAAAAAGGTAACCAATTTCAAATTGATGACACAAATCATGAACCTTGCACATCCATTGTAATCTGTAATCCATATCTTGTGTCTTAACATCATTTCTAACTTTGTGATAACTTTAGGCTAAATATTATTCTACTACAGGGAGTCTGGTTAACCATAAGTGCACTGAAATAAAATAATGAACACTGCCAAGTGTTCAGAGTTGGTAATGAATGTTTATAAAAATACTGTCACTACTCGACAGATACTACCACTCCTAAGAGTAGGCTGACACTCTTTTAGTGCAAGTACAGAAAAATGTGTAACGTAGACTTCTGTCTCTTAGCTTCAGCAGTGTGTTGTAGCCAATTTGCATAGAATGAAATTTGATCAGAAAAAAAAATTGATTCATTTCTAAAGTCATAACAATTCACTCAATAAACATTTGTTGAGCAAGAATAGGACCACTAATATATGCTAAACACTTGCTGGATGCTAGAGAAACAAAAATGAATAGGATATAGTTTCTTACCTCAAGAAACTTAATCTAATGAAGTATATCAAGTGATAAGTAGGTACTTATAATACCACATAATAGGTCATCATAACAGGAGTGGGGAGAAAGCCATAACCCAGTGGGAGATATTTTCAATGTATGTGAGAGACAAGGGATTTGCATTCCATAATGTATTTTTTAAAACTCTGATTGAGCAATAAAAAGACATATAACACATTTTAGTTGGTAAAATACAACGCAAACCAATAAACATTGAAACAAAACTGATCCCTTTTATCAATCCAGGAAATGCACAAGAGATGCCATTTCATATTAACTAGGCTTGCAATAACTAAGAAATCTGAAAAACACTTGTTGTTTGCAAACATATGAGTAAAGAAAACTCTTACATTTCTTGTGGAAATATAAAGTACAATCACTTTGGTAACAAATTACATTGTGAAGCTGAACATGCACATTCCCTGCATTTAAGCAATTCTCAAAACGTATTGAACTAGAAAAAACTCTCATACATGTCATTCAAGGGCAAACTCAAATGTGTATCAGCAGTAAACTATGCAAATAAATTGTATTATTCACATAAAGAAATATTTCACAGCAATAAAAATTAGTAAACTATTATTACAATAATGTATATAGACTTTACAAGCTAATTCTAATGGAAAAAAATGTTTTGGAAGATGTCAGATACCAAGAATATCATATTTATAAGTCTCAGAAACAAATAAAACTAAAAAGCACTGTTTAGTCATAAGTGCATGAGTCATCAAATTATTTTTATAAGGATGTGGTAAATATAATATTTAGAATTATGCTTAACTCTAAAGGAAGGTATGGGATAAGTTCAGGGAAGATGCTGATACTGTTGTTGGTACTCTTCTGCTTCTTCAGTCCAATAGTGGTTCTTACATTCTAATTTTTAAGCTTAGGAGTGTTCATTTTATAAATGTATTTCATAACTTACATACGCATTACGTGATTGTATATATTATTTGTAACATAGGCGATTTTTTTTCTTGAGGACTATTTCAATAACTTTTAAAGATATATTAAGTATCATTCTACTTTATCCAAAGTAGTTGGTAATGCCATTGATTAGCAGGCACTATGCATGTTATTCATTTGCCTTCTGGATAATAAGCAGCATTGCAGGTAAATAGAGTAGGATGTGATAAGTGCTGTGAAGAGAGGATACAGGAAAGGGCTCCTGCTTAGGGAGGGCACAAAAGGAAAGTGAGAACAGAAGACTGATGTCAAATAAGTCTGGAAAAAGCAAAAGCCAGATTATATTGGGCTTTCTCTCATAGATAATGGCAAGGGGAATATCAAAGTGTTCTTAACAGGAAAAGAACATGATCAAATTTTCATTTAAAGAACATTTTGATAGCTTTTCAGAGACTGACGTGGAGAGGAAGAAAACTGGAAGGAATAGAATCAACTAAGAAATTTCTCTAGAAATCCAGAGGAGAATAGATGGAAACAATGGGTTAATGGAGAAAATGAATCGATCCAGTACAGTCTTAAAGGGTGGTGCCAAAAGCATCTGGTGATTGACTGGACACAGGGAACAGAGATAGATAAAATCTCTGAAGCTGATATTCAGGTTTCTAATTTGGTCAAGTTAGTGATGATGTTCCATTCACTAAGGTGGGAGATACAGAAAGAGTATAGGTGGAAGTATGAGCAAGGGAGGGAAACTTAGATTGAAATATGTTGATCTGAACTATCTTTAGGGCATTCAACTGGGAATGCAAAGTGGATATGTGACTATATTTATCTAAAGTTCAACAATCTTAGCTGAAGATTCACATTTAAGAATCACCAAAATATGTCATAATTCAGCCATGAGTGAGACAGAAGGATGATGTATAACTTCACAGGGCACAAGTAATTAAGAGATGAATAATAGAGAGAAAGAAAAATCAACAATTTTATCCAGTATAATGATTTCTACTACAAGTTATAGAAAATTCAAGGAAAATGGCCTTGAACTTGAAGGAAATATTAGTTACATACAAAGTAGTGAAGATCCAAGATAAGCCTCAAATTAAATCTTTCATTCTGTATTATTAAAGACTTAGGGTGTTTTCCCTGGTTTCCACTCAGCCATTTACACTCTTTATTCTAAAACTGGTTCCTCTCTTCATGGTAAGGTGATTTCCAATGACAATTGGTCATAGAAGCTGCTTCTTTCAAATCCTTGAGAGAGAAACAAGCTTTCAGTTACTGTCTCTTATAAACAAAACCATTCTTCTTCAAATCTCTCCTCTTCACACTTCTCACTGATCCAAAATAGTCAAGGCCTTCCCATACAAGCAAGAGGAATGGAACTCTGTGTTTGGCTTTGATTAATCAGTTGGAGTAGAATAGATGGGGTTCTCAGCTCCAATGACCACTAAAAAAAAGTATGCAAGGAAGAATAAGGAAAAGTGGAGCCTAATGGGGGAAACATGTTTTAAGGAGAGAGTAGTCAATAGTGCCAAGAAACACCAAGCAAGATAAATATGCCTAAAGGCTCCTTGAATTTAGAAATGTAGAAAACTCAAGAAAGAAGTTTCCATTTGAAAGGAAGGAGTGTGTTGCAGTGGGATTTAGAAGGACTAAAAAGGAACTCAGAATGAATATTTATGATGGCAGACATATGAATGTATTTAAAGACTGACAATAAGAAGCTAGTCTTGAAGGGGAAGTTGGAAAAATCAGACAGGAAAGGAAGGAAATCAGCTTTTTTATGAGGCAAGCAGGAAAAAGGTACATGGTCAGATATTGAGGGGGTATTCATCAGAGTCAACATTCTGTTGCCTGAACAAAGGAAGGAGTCATATTCACTTACATCTTTGCAGAGGAGAGCTATCATTTTGCTTTATAAGGAAAAGTGGTATTCATTTGTCACTCTGAATGGAACCAACAGGTATTTGCATTATCCATCCATCCATCCATTTTATATGAAGTCTGCTTTCAAAGTCCATACTAATGTTTAATCATATCATCATTGCAAATCATAATCATTTGTTTGCCTCAGTATTTGCTTTAAAAACCCTTTGTAATCCTGTGATTGATTAAACATCTGTGAGCTCATCACCTTATTAATGGATGAAATAATTGTTTATCTGGAAACTGTACTATACTTTATCCTTCTTGTCAAATGTTAAATAATGTAATATGTCTTTAATATTTTTATCACATCTTTAATGCACAAAGTTATTTGTATCTTCCTGCTTTCATGATAAATGCTTCTGATTATCCCATATTATTACAATTCTGCCAAAAATAGGAGGTCTTAGAATTCTTCAATAGATAGGTCTACCAATTACCTTACCTTATTTAAAATTCTTTAAATATTCATTTTTACTTTTGTGTTATGTATTAGTTAAATATGTTAATAGTCATGAGTCTTAACCTAAAGAAATGAAGATGGTAACATTAGCCTAGGTTGTCAAATTTTCTCAAATAAGTGTAATGTTGCATTAGTATTCATTTGGTTTATATTTTACTGTAATATAATTAATATATATAGTAAATGTTTTTAAAAGTTAAATATTACTTTTGCAATTGTCAAGAAGTGAGTAGTCATTGGACCAGACTATTCACTTGAGAATAAAAAGCTAGAAATTGAACTATATGTAAATAGGGAATCAAAGGAGAATGAGTGACGAAAATTCTTAGGCATTCCAGTCTATTTCTCAAAGCCTCTGCAGAAGACTTAAAACAAAAATCTCATCTTTGTGTGTAAGTCATCAGAAATTTGATAGAAAATCAGTTTTATAAAAAGACCTTGATTGAACTATAGCTCTCTGCTGTGGCTATCATAACTCCTTAGTAACTAATGTTGATAACACTCATGGCCATTCCTAGCAGTACTCCAAACACTCTAAAGGAAAAAATGAGGGCACCCTCCACAATGTAGATCCCAAGATTCAGACACATAAAATAACTAGGCAAAAACGCTCATCTCTCAGCAAGAATTTCACTCCTGTATTTACTCTCACTGTCTTGTGTACCTGAGAGTAGCTGAGCAATGTACAAAAGGTTTTATTTAAGTCATGTCTTGTGTTTTTAATGGTATAATAGCAAGTGACCATTTGTAAATTCCCTCTTGTATGTCAGTTACCAAAAAATCTCAACTTCTGATGTCCATCAACTTAAAAAGAAGAATATGTCAGCCTTATGTAACACTCCCCCCAACCCACCAAATTCCAGGAAGTACTACTACAGGAGCACTTTAAGAAAAGCTATGAAAAACTTTTGCAATGGCTGCAGGTAATCGCAGTTTCAGGAGAAGCACTTGAATTTTAGAATCCTAACTGTCACTTCTGTCCTTCCTCCAGTGTGTTGGATTATGCTGCAGTCACTATGGTAATATTAGGTACTATATATTAAATCTTTGTATCAAGCATTGTGCTAAACACTTTAATTTATTTCCTAATCTAATCCTCTCAACAACCCTATGAGATAAGCATTACTGTTTTATGTATTTTATAAATTAAGTCACATAAACTCTATGACTACATATT